ATGTGACCTCACTTGAATAGCCCTGCTCTAGGTCATGTGACCTCACTGTGCCAGTTAGAGGCTGTTAACAGTTACTGCATGTTCGTGTTTTTCAATGAGAAAAATGGCGTATTTGTTTGCAAGTTACGTCGCCATGGTAACTCAAAATGCCAATACAGTAAAAGTGATAGCACACATCGGGGGTGCAGAGCCGGTTGTTTTTATATAACATTTGTGGGGGTACACATCGTGGTCTGGGCCACATTAAAGTTGAAAGAAGAGCACGACCCTTTTCAGGTGGATAATAATCGGTGGCTGCCTTTGAAGGCTGTCCTCAGTGATTTCTGCAGGAACTGATGTTAACAGACTCGCAGGCAAATATTTACAACTATTCACAGGAAGACACGTTGGACAGACTTACTGTAACGGCAAATCATATTAGCTTATTTTAGTTTGATGTTTTTGGTATAACTTAATTTAGGACCAAATAGCCACTCTGTCTTTAAGTGAATATATATAATGTGCACTTACGCAGAAAACCCTACAACAATCAGAATAAATACAAAATATATATATTTTTTTAACAAACGTCAACTAATAGCCGTGCGTTAATCTATAATACATGTTGTATTTGCAGCGTTTACTGAATGAACACACTTCTTGCCTAGAAAGCCTGTTGAAGTTCAGCTATTTGTCAGCAGGGGCTTCTTAATTATGACATCTGAGGAAGCGGGTCGGAAAAGCCTCCGGAGGCTTGAGACACACTGATGTGCAGCCAAGCTGTCAGGGCAGCGGAGCGCCCACAACGCTCCAGCAGAGAGGACCGAGCTATTTAGGTTACTGTGATTCAGGACAGTATTCCTGTCAGCTTCAGCTATAACCCCTGGAATATCCTGAGTCTTCTGTTTTCGTCCTTAGCTTCTATTTGAGTTTGCTGTTTTGATGAGGTTATTACTGTTTGGAGTCTTGGTTCTGTAGCTCTTGGTGATGAGTCTTCTACTGATCTCAGTTCTGTTTGCATTGAAAAACAAACTGAGCTGTTTAGTTATAATTCGTCAAACATTGCATTAAAAACATCAGCTCTAATTATAACCTTGAAATGACATTAACAGTGTGTAGTTTGCAGAACTGCCTGTTGATGAATATATTGTTTTGAGTTTTAAACAGAAAGTAAACAGTAACTCATATTTTCACGTTCTGAGTTATGACTGTAAGTCTGAAGAGCTGTTTTAGCCAAATGGATGAATCAAGTTCATGGAGTCCATGAGTGGATTTTAAGGATGATATTTTCTTATGATTTTAGTACATTAAATTTTAGTTTTCTAGAGCTTTGACCCATAATTGAATGAACACTTTAAAACTAACTCAAAGACACAGTAATACATCCTGATTGCTTTCAAACCACCTCGTCCATTTCAGCAAAAATCACCTCTAACTTGCTATATATATATGTATAT